GGCCCCCTAGGATTTTTTGCTTGGGGCCCCCACAGACTCTAGAATCGCCTCTGTCCATGCTACCATCATCGTATAGACAGATGTTAACAGAGGAATCAGCAAGCATCTGCTGAAGCACCTGTGACTTCAATCATAGGTCGATTCAGCAATGTCGAAATTGAAGATTTTAAGTTTGTGTTTAAAACAAACAATAGGGTAAAATTTAGGACGGCTTTGTCACTATTAATGCGTACTTATACTTTTTTTTATGGTCATGTGGCCAGAATGGCTAATATACTTTTAATGGGTTTAAACAGCAAGTTTTCAATCTTTGCAGCCTTTCCATGCCCCTGACTAACAACTGCACAATATATACAGTTCACAAAAACTGACTTGACATTCTAACTGACAGTGGTTGGTTTAAAATGGTATAGTGACGTTATGTGACTCCACAGTAGCTTACTCCAGTTGTATACAAAGTTTTGGTTTTTATTTTTGTCTTTTATACTTTGTTTCTGCTCAATTTGGTATTTAAAGAAACCTCATCATAACTTAATAAGGTAGGTGATGCGGACGTATATTTGGAGGCAGAGAAGCAGTTGGGGAGGGGTGAGGTCATGTTGCTGCAGTCTGCAGTCTGAACATCAGATGTCACTGAAAATTACACACTGTAGCTTTAATGTGGGGCTCATTAACAATGCAATTATCAAGCATAGAATTTTATTGCATTCAATCTGCATTCATTGAAACCAGAAGGTATAAGCCTGTGTAATGTGTCTTACCTTGATTATGTGTCCCTGTTTGGTTTGGTAGCTACTGGAGTAGTATTTTTCCTTGTTGTTCTGATCGGAGGCTCTGGGGAGGATTCATTAGAACCACTTCAAGCTGTTGCTTTTCCACTACGCATTGCAGAACGATTAGGTTCTATTATTTGGCTGCATGCGTATATTTAATATTTTTGAGCTAAAGCCTGGCTGAGTGGTGGTGCAGTTTGTAATACTGTTGCCTCGCTCCAAGGAGGTCCCATGTTTAACACCCAGCCTGGGGTCCTTTTATATGAAGTTTGCATTGCCTCCCCTCTGGATGCAGGAGTTTTCTCCAGGAACTCAGATTTCAGTGCAGAACTGTAACTGTTTGGTTCGTTGGAGTCTATAAATTGCTCTTAGGTGTGTGTTTGAGCATGGTTGTATGTCTTTCTTTTACTCTGCAAAGGACTTGCAACCTGTCCAGGGTGTACCCTGCCTGGAGATAAGCAGCAGTTCCTAATGGACAGGCATTGGAAGATGGATGGATACTGAGTTAAACCCTCTGCTTATATAAAATAAGCACAGAGGTAGGGCTCAGAAGAAATTTAAAGAAATGTTTTAATCCCTATGAAAACACAAAAAGGTGATACGCCCACAAACCAACTTTAAATTGCGTCTGGTTAAAAATCTTCCCCCATTTGATACATGCTTTCCCAGGCTTGGAAAACACAAGATAAAAAGATCCTTCACAACTATGACTAAATTTAATATCATTTATGGTTTTTTTTCATAATACAAAGATAAGACTGAAGAAAAAAGAGAGCCTGACTTTACAAAGTGTTCCAGTTCAGTTGCACAAAAATATCAAAGTCGTCACTGTGAATGACTGATAGTCAGCATAATCTCCAACGAACAGTAAAATAACTAATATTTACTTTAGCTGGTTGGAAAGAACTCAACAGGTGTATCATACAATGCTAATCCACCACCTACTACAGCATTTGCTTTCGTGTTCAACCTTTATGGAGAGGAAGGTTAAAGTTTTTGTGAGAATTTTATATGCATTCTATATATCTATGGATGCCCTGCGATGGACTGGCGACGTGTCCAGGGTGTACCCCGCCTCTCGCCCATAGTCATCTGGAGATAGGCACCAGCACCCCTCGTGATACCAGCAGGGATGAATCGTGACAGAAAATGGATGGATGGATTTCTATGGATGCTGGAATAATAATTGTTATTAATTCAGTTCAAATCATTTCATTTTATTTATATAATGCCAATTTATAACAAGTCATCTCAAAGCACTTTATATACCACATTAAATTTCTCTCTTTTAACAAGGTAAAATGCAATACATTTGAAAAAAAAAAACATTTCTAGGCACTTTTGTTGTTCCAGCACAATTTCCAGTATTATCCCTTTGGTAATGGAATAACTTATTCATTTAATTAATTAGCTTTACAATCTTTTATTGGTGTTGATACAGTGCTATGATGTGAAGGAAGTCTGACTGTTTGCTAAATGGGTCTCTCTATATGGCCCATAGGAAAGGAAGAGTCCAGCATCATTGTTTGCCCTGAGGACAGCCATATCCCAGGATGGACCACAGCCCATGAAAAATGTTCGCAAACTTCGCTCACCTCCGAAGTTTGAGTAAACTTGTTATAGACATTTTATTATTATTGTTGCTGTTGCTTTAGTTGTTTCTGTTGATTTTTTTTTTAGCAGAAAACAAACTACAAATCAATTGACTAGTTTACTTGATTTGGAATGGATCAGTTTTTCTCAATAAATCATGTTGGCCAAGTTCTATTTCCTGTCCCAGAATGTATTTTAATGTTTTTGATATTTAACTTCAGACATTGTCATTACAAGATATCTTTGTCAGAATAAATCTCTTTTGAACCGTCATCTCTCACTTATGTACACTGTGGGGCTTTGAGATCCAAAAACAGTGTGACTCTTAGTGTCACCGAATATGAAATGCTCCTGTTGCAGGTGGGGCAGTGGCGCTTGATGCTGTAGGTGTTGATATGGAAACGCATTTTGTACCTACAGTACAAACATAAACTGTGCTTCATTACAACAAGGCTGATGGTTTAGGTGTGTGCAACTTGTCACACTCTGCAAACATATTAAACTTAAAGTATTAGTCTTGAGCAGGACATGACCTTATTAAGATTAGCCTCCCACATGCCTTTTTGTGTGGAGTTTTCTTTTCAAAAACAGTGAAAGTTGATACTTAGTCCACACCCATCCCATCCTTAACAGGACATCCTGATCTGCTGAGCCTTGATTTAAAACCTCTCTTGTTAAAGGAGAGCAGAGAGAGAACAGAAATAAATTTATTTGAAAAAAAAAAAGTCCAAAACTTGGAACTGAATCATTCCTGAACTTCTACCAGCCACTTTACCCATGTCACCAATTCTGGTCTTATTGATTAGGGACAGATTACCATACAAATGAAAAAAGATTAATTAAGACTTTAATCTAAAAAAGGTAATCAATACAGAAAGAACATTAATATTACTTTTTCTTTCAGAAAAATTACACTCAATAAACAGAACATTATTAAGGATAAGCCCCCTATTACTTGTACTTAATTTTCAGGATGTTCACAATTAAAAATGACTCATCGTGCCAAACAAACTCCTCTACAGCAGGCCTGTGATGATACTCTACATATTTAAAGGTACAGTGTGTAAAAATAACAGGGATTTACTGACAGAAATATAATATATTATCCATTTTCTTTTTATTTATTATGACCTATGAACTGAATATCTCAATTTGTATTCTGAGCGTTAGATGCCGCTGAAAATTACACAATGTAGCTTCAATGAAATGTCAGGTTAATTGTCTGGTAAGACGGACACCAGTTCACTACAATATCAAATATTTAGTAGTGGAGAGACAAAGACAATGAATATCCTTGGTGTGATGTTCCCACTAAATGCCAAGCGGGAAATGAGCAGTTTTTAACCCGCCTCGCCTGCCGAGTTGTTTGACTCGGGTTGACGTGGGTTAGTGAGCAGTTCCCACTGCTACTAAAAGAAGATCTTTTGCGGTGTGAAAGGGGTATGTGATTTAATTTCTGTGTCAAATATTTACGTTCAATAATAGAAACAAATATTTCTGTGGGAATAGATCTATTGTAAGTTTATACAGATTATTTAGACTTAGGAGAAGCAGTTTATTAAACTACTTTTATTCAAAATTTATTGAAATGCAATATAAAACTAGCAGAACAGACTTTTATTTTGAAATAGAAAATGGACCTGTGAGGTATTTTTTTTTACTTCAGGCAGGAGCCGGAAATAAACAAATCCCCCTTAAAATAATCTTTCAAGAAGTACTCTTAAATAAATTTACACTTGAAATTCAACTAGCAAAAAAAAAACAAAAAAACAAAACAAAGGAAGACTTACAAAAATACAGCGATGTGGGAGACAGTAAAATTTTGATTTACTTTATTTTTTTTATTGACATTTAATAGCATCCAAGTCAGATCAACAGCATGTTGATGTCAATGCAAAGTGCAGCGATCCGCCCCGATGTCCAAATAACATCTGCTGTCACTTTAAAAAAGTACACTTCAACACTTGTACACATGAGTAAATAATTCTGTTTCTATAATTCAGATGTAAGGCACTTTTGATATACTGATGTAAATTATGTGCAAACAATAAATGAGTGCAGATACTGGCCGTGTGACCATTGTCAAAAATGTCTTTAAGAGATGTCTCTTTCATCTTTTCTGCATTTTTTGCAATGTAAAGGTTTTAACCTGTGCCTTAAATTATTCACAATATTTAAAAAAATAACAAAGTAGTAAATTTCACTCATTTTATATCGCAAAGAACAAGTAAATATCTGTGCTAATGTTAGCAGTACAATTTGCGCACACTGGCAGTGTATACTGGTTTAAATAGAGCAACATCAAGATTCCCAACATGCAATAACACACAACTATGTAGATGGATTTCCGTATGGTCTTGGATTGTGCATTAAACACTTAGAGATTCAGATGGCTACTATTATTCAGCATCTTAGTATCTGCCTATATCCATATTGGCATTTAAATGAAGCAGATGTGCACCTACACACACCTTTGTCTCTCTTGATAGCTAACCAGTCCCTTAAAGATGCGTGGCTGATCCTGCCTGGATCATTGTCTTTGAATGCAGCAACGAAGAAGCTTTTAAAAGAATCCCTAAATACAAGAGTAGGCCAAAGCCTCACAATCAATTGGGTAAAGTTACTTTCTTTTTCTGTGATCTAAAAAAAACATCACAATGTCATCTGTATAATGATGCAATTTTTTGTCCCACCATCATGCATTACAGGTACAAAAATGTGTCGGTTCAGTTCAGAGCTATAATATAATATAAGCAATAAAGCAGCTGATACCCACAGAAAGAATACTATTCAGCCAGTCAAGCTTCTACATAATAAAATTACAAGTTATATCTGTAATAAGACCTTTCTTATTGTGCAGAGGGCTAATTAGTGTTCCTGTAGAGAGCTGAGAAGATCTCTCAGGGGACCTTGTTACACACTCACGTTACTGTACAAAACAAAATCCAAAGACGCCTTATTAACATGGCTAAGGGTTTTGTAGGTCGTGGAAAAATTTGGTATGAAATGAACTCTGTGACTATACTGATGTGCCATATCGTTTCTGAAAAATCTAATACTTATAATGTGGAGTATTCTGTTATTAAAAAATATGTCACACATTCACCTTAAAATAATTTCTGAATCTGTTGATTAAATCAATCAGGTAATTGATGCTCATTTATAGCACTAAAGACTTGCAGATTTGAAATAAACAATCAAGCTTTGCTAGAATGTGACTTGGTTATTTTCTGATAAGCTTCTCCAGCGATGTGAGTGAACACTAACTACTATTGGCATTGACTGCACTTCCTAACTAACAGCTGTAGGTTTAAGGAAAAACGTGTTTGAAGGAACGACCACCCAAGACAATGGATCCCTCTTTGTGGATCCCACTCCTACAGACAAGTTAAGAGCCTCTCCTTCTTTTTTTCCCTCGTTCTCATTGTCCCCCTCTGGCTCCTTTCCATTAACCTGGCCCAGGCCTCCTAGAGCTCCCAGCCCCAGCATGGATGCAGCTGAGAGTCTCAGGTGTAACAGCGCAGAGTCTGAAAGGCCAAGCGGTCCAATACCACATCGTCCTCCTCCACTCATAGAGAAGATTGGGGCTCGATGATGATCTAAAGCCCCTGAGTGGCAGAGAGCGGATAGGGGCAAGGATGATCCGAGACCCCCAAGAAGAGCCGGCCCTGGAAGGAAGACATGCCCCCCACCTACAGACGGCAAGTCAGCGGTGCTCTGGTGCCCGGAAAACCCCAGCTCCATTCCTGCCCGCAGCTTTGTGGAAGGGCTCGACTCCTGGGCCACAAAGTGCCCGTGGGCCTTGATGTGCTTTCGTAGGGAGCTGGGATCGGTGTAGCGTTTCATACAGCCCACCATCTTGCAGTAGTAAGGCTTGTCCACATAATGGGTGCGGGTGTGCTTGAAGCGGTCACTAGAGTTTGAGTAGCGTTTGTTGCACCCTTCGTATGGGCATATGTAGGGCTTCTCGCCTAAAAATAAAAAGAGAAACAATTAAGGTAATGAGGGGAAAGGATTAAACTAGCCAGATGGTAAATGACCCGTATAATTATACGCAACAAAAGAGGGACAGTGATCAAGAACTATAAGACAAATATTGGGCATTTTCCATAGGAAACATTTTTTAAAACACAAAATAAACCCAGAACTAATCATTAAACAATATTATCACAAATACTAATCTAAAACAAGTGCAGTGTGCTTCTGTATTCAGCCACCATTACTGTCACAATCCTAATTAAAATCCAAAGACCAAACAAGCAGGGTTGGCTTATAAAGAATATAAGCTTTGAAAAATCTCACAAATCACTGTTTATTCTATCATCATAAAATGGCAAAATAAAGGCTCAATTTCAAACCCCCTACGGTAGGTCTGTCTGGCTAAACAGACAGATCTCAGTGGAGCAAACCCATTTTACCTCTGGAAGAGCTGCAAAAGGTTACAGCTACGGTGGTTAATGTGTCAACAGAACAACTAACGAGAGTATCTTTAAAAAAACAAGTCATAAAAATCTCTGTTTAACCGTTACTGCAAACAATCAGCAGCACAGCTGTTATAGCCCTGCCTCTAGATCAGGGGGGGATTTACCATTAGGCAATACTAGGCAGCTGCCTAGGGCCCCAAGTTCCTGGGGGCCCCATAAAACTCTGTTTCCATGTATGTTTAATACAACTATTCCTTATTTGTGCACATTAATTATGTTTTTGATAAAAAATCCTTTGGCTAAAATGTCATCAGAACGCTGATAATATTAAGTGTGTCTCAGCCCCCCCCTTCAGTGTCCACCATATTGGATCAGTCCATTTGCTGCACATGTTCAGAAAGGTCCAAACAGACAGCAGCAAACCATTTGAAAACAAA